GGATTTTTCCTTAAAACCCTTAATAATTCTATCAACTGATACGCCCCCCTCCCCCAACGAAAAACAAAATTTCAAAAGAGAGAGAAAAGCCTCGTCAGATCTGAACCGCGTGACTCGCCGCCGCGCTGACGCCAGCCTGCACGCCTCTTCCGCCCATTGCAACTGACGTGGTCCTCCTCTAACCCCGTGTTTCCTCTCCCGCTGCTGAACACGGAACAAACAGTAGCTTTTCCCGTAGACAAGACGATGGCAAGGATTCGAGTGGCTACGGCTCCAGGGATTCCCTTGTGTCATCCTCCAGAGTCAAGGATGAGGTCGAGGGTTACAGAAGGACACGTTCCGACCTGACTCCGGATATTATCGCCAAGGCCAACGAAGAGTACGACCGAGACCAAAAAGCTGCGTCCAAGTGAGATGGTGTTTAGGATAGAGCGCAATGAGTTGTGTCTTTGAACGTTCTTCTCACTAACTCACGTGTACTGTTTAGAAAAAAAAGTAATGATAAATAAATTGTGGCTTCGAGATGCAGCTATCTAGGTCGAGAATACTAGAGTGAGGCGTCCTTCGACACTCACATTCTAGTTTCTGGTGTGATTAACGATAGAAACGATAGAATTATACTCTTTGTTTCTAATGTCTTAGATGTAAGGTGCATTATAATATGTCCTTGTTCCTTCGATATATGCTTAACATATCCTCCTTCCTTCTTTCTTGGTACTGATCACTCTCTTGCCCTTCAGGTTAAATTCATGGGACAAGTCTCGACCGGTATCATGGTCAGCCCAAGACCTAAGGAAGGCCGTAGACGATGCCAAGGAACAGATTCGGTCTTCGAGAGAAGGTCGGTTCTGCGTACGACCTTGTAGTTGTCGAAACCTATGCTATACTTGATTCAGTTCACGATATGCATATTCTGTTTACTCTTAATGGCGATTCCTTTCACAAATTCAGCTTCAAAAGATATGCTGGTGCATCTTTTGCTTTTAGTGATTACTGATGAATACAAATATTAATGGAAAAGAATGCATTTTCTCTTTGTCTTAACCAAACCGATCTTCCAGACCTCCACCGACTCTATGGCAGCACCAAATCGTTATCTCAGGGCCTGGATAGCGACCTCAGGGACAGCTCAAATGACCTATCCACGAAGAACGACTCCACCTACTCCTTCTCCTCGTACCTGGCCATGCGCACCAAGTCCCCCGCTCGGCCTCCGCTGGCCCGAACGTCCTCCTTGCAAGGCACCGCGTCCACGTCCTCGTCGGCGAGACGGAGCGAGGAGGAGGCCGCCCCATCCATCAAGGAGGAGAAGGAGAAGGAGACGAAGAGCTATTCGAGTTATTCGAGTTATTCGAGCGAAAGCAAGAGTTCGAGGCTCTCTTCTCTAGCGCCCATTTCAGAGGCGAAGTCGAGCCGCCTGTCGACGGAGGACAAGGACAAGGACAAGGCGGAGGCCAACGGGAAGCCCCCGAAGCCTCCGTCGCGACTCAAACTCTCGTCCAAGCTCCTAGACATCAAGGAGACGCCCAAGGAAGAAAAGCCCAAGAAAAATATCTTAAGTCTTAAGGTAAGGTGGGGATGGGCCGTCATGGAGGAGGTTCATGTTTCTTTTACCATTTTATATGATTTCGTGAAAGTTTGTTAGAAATTTAAAAGGAACACAATAAAAAAGTTTTAAAGAAGGAGAAAATGTGCTTGTAATAATGAATTATAAACACAACTGTGGTGTTAATTAATAATTTACATTGTTTCACGCGGTGACATGAAGTATCACAAATAGATAGAAAGACTGCTGATTTAAGCTATCTTCTTATCTATCTGGAAAGATTCCTTTCAATTTTGACAAAACTTCTACAAATGTTACATTATAATTTTTCTTTTGTTTCTTAATCCATATATTTTTTATTATGGAAAGCATTATATATTTTTAATATTGCATTTTTCCTACGTAGTGATAATGTTTAAATCGATCAGTCACATCTCAAAAAGTGACTTATCATTTAAACATCAAACGTTTATTATTTTTTCTCTCCTACCTCTTTCAATGTAACCAAAAAAAATGCCCCATTCTCCCTCACACATCTTTACTCTCCAGGGCGAAGGATACGGGAGCAGTTCAGTAAGTACTGGAACAAAAATGCTGATGGTTGTTTGTACCAATACCTGAGTTCTTTTTTTTCCTCTCTCTGTTGTCTTTTTTCCATGTTGCTTAGACGATGAATGTCAAACAACCACATAAACAAAGAAACACAGACACAGATTCAATGCCCGCGTTGTTTTTGCAAGTCAGTAGGCTTCCTCTTCTTAATGGGTAAAAAATATACTAATGGGTTATTGTAATAAAATGTGAAATAAATAACTATGCCATTGATGTTTGCATAAATTAATGGATAAATGAACTAATGAATAAATAAATGAAGTCGATTTGGGGAGGAAAATGTACTGCTGATTATTACACTTTGTTTAAGCGTGTTTTTTCTTTTCTTTTTTTCTTTTCTTTTTTAACTTTATTTCTTATTATTTTTGGTACTGCTCTGTTTCTTACTTAATTTATCTCTCCTCCTTTTAAAGACTGACTTATTGCAAAAAAAAAAAAAAAAAAAAAAAAAAAAAAAACAAGACAAAGACAAGAAAAAAAGATGAAAAAATAAAAGGAAAAAGAAACGAAATTAAAGAAAGCACACGTGAAATGGATGTCTAGCAATAAACCATGTCGACTTGTGTTTCTGTCAGTTTTATAACACGCACTCACGGATATTTGGTCGCCGGAGACATCTGTGTGTAATAACATTACGTCACTTCCTGGCCCGCGGGAAAAAAAATACGTCACATTTTAGTAATAATATATGTCTCCTGTCACGTAGAGAGGAAATAGTGAAAATAATAGATATTCTTAGAAATGTTCTTCTTGTGGCAATGTCCTTTTGGTATAAAGTGAAAAGTGATGTCTTATATGTAACAGATGATAGTTCTAGCATTGACTAGTGTTTTAGTATTGTGTATAGAAACATATATAAAAGGACATGGAATATGTGCCTTGTTCATATTGTTCAACAGTGTGAAGAGAGATGGGGAATTAATATAATTATTATTTGAACATTTCCCTTGTCATTCTAACCATATTTATTCACAGATATTAAATAAAATAAAAAAATAATAGCATATTAGTATGTAATAAATATTATATGGCAACGAGACTGGGCCCATCACATGCTATTCTTAGACAGAATAAAAGAATATGTGACATCTTTCACCTTCTGTCTTTCTATTCTGCTTTGTTCTTAGTTCTTTGTGACTACTTGGATGCAAACACTCAAAATAGTAATTAGAAACATACATATATCTGCTCGTGCATTTGGCTTATATAACTAGTATGCTTGTCTAGGCTTGCTAAGCTATGCAATGATTTTGTTTTTTTTCGACATATTTTTTGAGTGATTTATATTTTTTTCTTGTTTTGATTTTTTTTTTTTTTTTTTACCCTATGATATTTTTAATTTTCAGCTCAACGTCCTTTTCTGAGAATTTATTTTGATGAATTGATAAATACCTCAAACGCTTTCTTAATTATAATAAAAAGGCATGATGCTAAATTCTTTGATTTATTTCTATCTAACTCATCACCATTTTAAACCTTATTTGCTGAATAACAGGCATAATCATCACCAACATATAATCTCCTTTTAAAAAATTCTATCTAACAGACACCAAACAACCATAAACTAACTCGACCAACATACCCAGCAGATTATAAAAAAGGGAAAAATTAAAGAAAAGGAAAAGACATAGTGACGTACAAAGACTCATTATCGGCCCTCTCCCACACCCACACTTCATCAGCCCTTCCCTTTCACCCTCATTCACCCGCTCCCTTCTTAAAGGAGGTGAAGAGTGAGGATGACTCCGCCGACGCCACCTACGTCATCAAGTTGGCCAAACCGAAGAAGGAACCGAAGAAGGTGGAGATCGACCTCCAGTCCGAGCTCGAGCGCGTGCAGCAAGAACTCAAGGAGAAGAACAAGGAGATCAAAGAACTCGAAGAACGCACCGAGAGGCTGGAGAGCGAGAACAAGGAACTCTCGGCGAAGAAACCCAAGTTCGGGGACGTCCGGAAGCACACCGAGCTCTCCAAGTTGCAACAGAAGGTGAACTGTGACGTCACCTGTTCGTAGAGAGAAGAAAAAAGAGTTCTTAGTCATTCTCGTTCTAATCCTTTTTTTTTTGCCTTTGTCGCAAAGACCACTGTTCTGCATTTGTCTGTCCACTGTTATGATTATTTCTTTACATATTATTATTTTTATTATTGTCATTATTATCATATACTATATGTTGGAATATGTCTGTGTGTGTGTTTGTTTAAGTTCATTGCTTACATTGCAATCTAGAATCAAGAAGAAGAAAAAGAAACATACACGAACAACATATTCCAACTGGATTACACAAGTGCATCGACAGTTTCAAAAACTTACTGACCAGTGAATGGAATTACAATGGTTTTAGAAACGGTCGTGTCGCGTTTTTTGTTTTCATTCATTCACTCAGTACAGACGTGCATTTCCGGTGGTTTAACTATTCATTATTACCAAATTGAAATGGACTTGAATGATGCTTCGGTATAATCTTTATCTTGCTGTCTTTAACATTTAAAGTAAACTCTAAATACATTCTTGATTACTGTAAACGATGAAGACAATACAGATCCTAGAACATGGAGGTATTACTAGTTACCTGTAATTCTCCAGCGTAATAGTATTCCTGAACAGTATTTGATTTAGTAGATGACTACTGTACACAAAATAATTTTATTGATAAGTATACCATTAATAGGTATTCATATAGGTGTAAATAAATGTGTATTTTCTTGCCGTTTCACTAACACGGCGGAGCATCATTCCCAGTCATCGACAGATTCAAAGCAAAAGAAATCTTTAACTCTTTTTTTTTTATTCCAGCTCGACGACCTCAGTGACGAAATGAAGAGCAAGAACAAGGAAGTGAAA